ACATTCTGCCCAGTTTCTAGCTTTATCTAACAGTATTCAATATTCTAGAAGCAATTTTTAGTAATCTGGCAGCTGTATCTAATGTTCTACAAACAGTATACAGTTTTTATAAGCAGTGTCTTGTTTTATTAGCAGTGTCTAGTCTTCTGCAATAATATCCAGTACTCTGCAAATAGTTTTTAGTTTTCTCGCAGCAGTATTTGATATTTTACAAGCAGTATCTAATTTTTATAAGCAGTATCTGGTGTTCTACAACAGTATCTAGTATTCTATATCATTATTCAATGTTTTGCAAAGACTTTTCAGTCTTCTGATAGCAGTACTTAACATTCTGCCCAGTTTCTAGCTTTATCTAGCAGAATTCAATGTTCTAGAATCAATTTTTAGTAATCTGGCAGCTGTATCTAATGTCCTAGAAATAGTATACAGTTTTTATAAGCAGTGTCTTGTTTTATTAGCAGTGTCTAGTCTTCTGCAATAATATCCAGAACTCTGCAAATAGTTTTTAGTATTCTCGTAGCAGTACCTGATGTTTTACAAGCAGTATCTAATTTTTATAAGCAGTATCTGGTGTTCTACAACAGTATCTAGTATTCTATATCATTATTGACTATTTTGCAAGGAGTTTTCAGTCTTCTGATAACAGTACTTAACATTCTGCCCACTTTCTAGCTTTATCTAGCAGTATTCAATATTCTAGAAGCAATTTTTAGTGATCTGGCAGCTGTATCTGATGTCCTACAAATAGTATACATTCTTTATAAGCAGTGACTTGTTTTATTATCAGTGTCTAGTCTTCTGCAATAATATCCAGTACTCTGCAAATAGTTTTTAGTCTTCTCGTAGCAGTATCTGATGTTTTAGAAGTAGTATCTAATTTTTATAAGCAGTATCTGGTGTTTTATAACAATATCTAGTATTCTATATTGTTATTCACTATTTTGCAAGGACTTTTCAGTCTTCTGATAGCAGTACTTAACATTCTGCCCAGTTTCTAGCTTTATCTAGCAGAATTCAATATTCTAGAAGCAATTTTTAGTAATCTGGCAGCTGTATCTAATGTCCTAGAAATAGTATACAGTTTTTATAAGCAGTGTCTAGTCTTCTGCAATAATATCCAGTACACTGTAAATAGTTTTTAGTCTTCTCGTAGCAGTATCTGATTTTTACAAGTAGTATCTAATTTTTATAAGCAGTATCTAGTGTTCTACAAGAGTATCTAGTATTCTATATCATTATTGACTATTTTGCAAAGAGTTTTCAGTCTTCTGATAACAGTACTTAACATTCTGCCCAGTTTCTAGCTTTATCTAGCAGTATTCAATACTCTAGAAGCAATTTTTAGTGATCTGGCAGCTGTATCTAATGTCCTACAAATAGTATACAGTTTTTATAAGCAGTGTCTTGTTTTATTATCAGTGTCTAGTCTTCTGCAATAATATCCAGTACTTTGCAAATAGTTTTTAGTCTTCTCGTAGCAGTATCTGATGTTTTAGAAGTAGTATCTAATTTTTATAAGCAGTATCTGGTGTTCTACAACAATATCTAGTATTCTATATTGTTATTCACTATTTTGCAAGGACTTTTCAGTCTTCTGATAGCAGTACTTAACATTCTGCCCAGTTTCTAGCTTTATCTAGCAGAATTCAATATTCTAGAAGCAATTTTTAGTAATCTGGCAGCTGTATCTAATGTCCTAGAAATAGTATACAGTTTTTATAAGCAGTGTCTAGTCTTCTGCAATAATATCCAGTACACTGTAAATAGTTTTTAGTCTTCTCGTAGCAGTATCTGATTTTTACAAGTAGTATCTAATTTTTATAAGCAGTATCTAGTGTTCTACAAGAGTATCTAGTATTCTATATCATTATTGACTATTTTGCAAAGAGTTTTCAGTCTTCTGATAACAGTACTTAACATTCTGCCCAGTTTCTAGCTTTATCTAGCAGTATTCAATACTCTAGAAGCAATTTTTAGTGATCTGGCAGCTGTATCTAATGTCCTACAAATAGTATACAGTTTTTATAAGCAGTGTCTTGTTTTATTATCAGTGTCTAGTCTTCTGCAATAATATCCAGTACTTTGCAAATAGTTTTTAGTCTTCTCGTAGCAGTATCTGATGTTTTAGAAGTAGTATCTAATTTTTATAAGCAGTATCTGGTGTTCTACAACAATATCTAGTATTCTATATTGTTATTCACTATTTTGCAAGGACTTTTCAGTCTTCTGATAGCGGTACTTAACATTCTGCCCAGTTTCTAGCTTTATCTAGCAGTATTTGATATTGTAGAAGCAATTTTTAGTAATCTAGCAGCAGTATCTGGTGTTCTACAAATAGTATGTAGCTTTTATAAGTAGTGTCTTGTTTTATTAGCAGTGTCTATTCTTCTGCGATAATATCCAGTACTCTGCAAATAGTTTTTAGTCTTCTCGCAGCAGTATTTGATATTTTACAAGCAGTATCTAATTTTTATAAGCAGTATCTGGTGTTCTACAACAGTGTCTAGTATTCTATATCATTATTCAATATTTTGCAAGGATTTTTCAGTCTTCTGATAGCAGTACTTAACATTTTGCAGTATTCAATATTTTAGAAGCAATTTTTAGTAATCTGGCAGCTGTATCTAATGTTCTACAAACAGTATACAGTTTTTATAAGCAGTGTCTTGTTTTATTAGCAGTGTCTAGTCTTCTGCAATAATATCCAGTACTCTGCAAACAGTTTTTAGTCTTCTCGTAGCAGTATCTGATGTTTTACAAGTAGTATCTAATTTTTATAAGCAGTATCTAGTGTTCTACAACAGTATCTAGTATTCTATATCATTATTCAATATTTTACAAGGACTTTTCAGTCTTCTCATAGCAGTACTTAACATTCTGCCCAGTTTCTAGCTTTATCTAGCAGTATTCAATATTCTAGAAGCAATTTTTAATAATATGGCAGCTGTATCTGATGTTCTACAAATATTATGTAGCTTTTATAAGTAGTGTCTTGTTTTATTAGCAGTATCTAGTCTTCTGCGATAATATCCAGTACTCTGCAAATAGTTTTTAGTCTTCTCGTAGCAGTATCTGATGTTTTACAAGTAGTATCTAATTTTTATAAGCAGTATCTGGTGTTCTACAACAATATCTAGTATTCTATATTGTTATTCACTATTTTGCAAGGACTTTTCAGTCTTCTGATAACAGTACTTAACATTCTGCCCAGTTTCTAGCTTTATCTAGCAGTATTCAATATTCTAGAAGTAATTTTTAGTAATCTGGCAGCTGTATCTAATGTTCTACAAACAGTATACAGTTTTTATAAGCAGTGTCTTGTTTTATTAGCAGTGTCTAGTCTTCTGCAATAATATCCAGTACGCTGCAAATAGTTTTTAGTCTTCTCGCAGCAGTATTTGATATTTTACAAGCAGTATCTAATTTTTATAAGCAGTATCTAGTGTTCTACAACAGGATCTAGTATTCTATATCATTATTCAATATTTTACAAGGACTTTTCAGTCTTCTCATAGCAGTACTTAACATTCTGCCCAGTTTCTAGCTTTATCTAACAGTATTCAATATTCTAGAAGCAATTTTTAGTAATCTGGCAGCTGTATCTAATGTTCTACAAACAGTATACAGTTTTTATAAGCAGTGTCTTGTTTTATTAGCAGTGTCTAGTCTTCTGCAATAATATCCAGTACTCTGCAAATAGTTTTTAGTTTTCTCGCAGCAGTATTTGATATTTTACAAGCAGTATCTAATTTTTATAAGCAGTATCTGGTGTTCTACAACAGTATCTAGTATTCTATATCATTATTCAATGTTTTGCAAGGACTTTTCAGTCTTCTGATAGCAGTACTTAACATTCTGCCCAGTTTCTAGCTTTATCTAGCAGTATTCAATATTCTAGAAGCAATTTTTAGTATTCTGGCAGCCGTATCTAATGTTCTGCAAACAAGATTTAGGGGTTTTAAACAGAATTTAGACTTCTGTAAAAAGTTTTTAATCTTCTGACAATAGTATTTAATGACGTAATCTTGTATAAAATCTTGAATAAAACTGCTGCCTTTCACTAGCTCGTTGTAGTTCGCCCCTAATATTTGTTTTGTCAGGTACTACGCATATTTTGAAGTGAGTTGCGTAACAGAGACTTATTTTAAGTTTAAAATGTGTGATTTTAGTGCTTATTTTCTAATAATTCGTATTTTAGTAATAGAACATTATTGCTTTTTTCTTTTTAAGGACGCCCATAGTGTAATGCTGCCAAAATCTGACCAAGACCTTTATAGGCATAAGAAAATAAGTAGGCTACGTACAATTAGCCATCAAATAAGGTAATTTTCATTGTTTTATTTGCTGAATTAACGCGTACTTTTTAAAAACAATTTTTAGATTTTTAAGAAGAATAGAACAAAGTTTAAGGAAGAAAGAACGCGTAAAAAGTTCAAGCGATAGTTTTAATAGCGGCGAAGATTCGCCGAGAGCAACGTCGCCTTTGTTACAAACGAGAGAGCCAAAAATAGAAATTCGAAAAAGTAGTAGCAGCGGAAAATTACAAAGCTCTGTAAATTACGTTCCGTCATCGTCGTCTTCGCGGCATCATCGATATGGTAACTTCAAAAAAGGGGAATTGTTGATTCCCGAAACTGAACGAGCTTGGAAAAAAGTTATGGTCACCGGAAATGGACATTCGGATTAAATTACATTTTAAATTATTAATATTAAATAAGGATAATTACGATAATTACGTAACGTTTTACATTTGCACAAGTAATATTCTAAAAAGAAATAAAAAAGTAATTACACGGAATCATCGAACAATCATTTGATAAAAATTGTTTGAGGAAAGAATGATAACGTACAAATGCTCAAAAAAGAAATATGTTAAACGGAATGAAAGGAATTTTAAAAAAATGAGATGCTAAATGAGATTTTTCAATATACTAATATATTTATTAATAAATTGTAGGCTTTGCATAAATGAGACTGATTTTCTACTGACCGTATTTTAGCTAATTCTTGTTATAAAATAAAATTAAAAAAAAAACGTTAAATATTATAACTATTATCGGTGCACTTTTAAATGTCTAATTACATATTATAATGTTATCACAAAATTACGAAGAAAAATACGGGTTACACCGCCTCGGTACTTACCTGTGATAGCACAGTTATTAACACTTTACCTATTAACTTATTAATTAATTAATTCATTAAAAGTAATCTTAGTAAATACATTGATAAAAAGTTAGTAGATAAGATCTTTGTACATTCGATTAACAAAAAAAAATCTAAATAAATTTAAAAACGTACAGCAATACATTGGTGGGAACAAGCGAAAAATTAAAATTAATCTGCAACAACCATCGTGAGCAATTAAACTTTTAAATGTTCTGTACTTTACGCACTAACACTTGTTGATACTCATTAAAATTAACAGAAAAATGTATTATACGAGGTTACATTAACATAAACACAATGTCTGTTTTGGTTATTATCAAATAAAGCGCTTGTTTATATTGGTTTTCTTTTATTACAAATAATTACTTTGTTATACTCCTTATCGTTAGGTAACGAAACGGATGTAAGATATGAGTCTTAACTCAAAAGACAACAAACATAGTGTAGGACGGTGTGACGAAGAATGACAAGAATATGTTGGAGGAGCGGGTGTGGGAAGCCAAAGAATGTTGAAAATCAACTCCTTAAAAAAATCATAACTGATGATTATAATGGAACTCAAAAAGGAGGGACTCAAGACAAGATACTTGGACGAGGTGGAGGACGATACCAAAACCCGTGGCATCGTAAATTGGAGAAGGATATCTTGAACAGATCGGATCGGCGGAAGATGCTAGAACAGGAATTACATCAATATCACTATTGCTTTTCTATACAGCACATTTCCATTCAATGAAAACATTTTATTTAAAGACTATAAGGGAATGTCATATAACTCGTAATATATGAATACAGTAACCATAGTTACGAAACTATTATGCACCTGCACTGTCCCACATAAAATGCAACATAGCTTAATAGTACAGGCATTGGGTAGTATTGCAAAGGAAAAGTTTTGCTTGAAAAATGTGCTTCAACGACTAATACAGATTATATTAATTGAAAATAATCTGGCTATCAGAGGATCTTCTGATAAATTATTTACCTAAAATAAAGGGAAATTTCTAGAGTTCATACAATTCTTGGCAAGGTTTGACCCTGTCATGAAGGAGTATGTCAAATTAGTAATGAAAGGTGAGTTGGCTGACCATTATTGTGGCAAAAATATACAAAATTAATTGACAGATTTAATGGCATCGCAAGTTAAATCCACAATATTATGCCACCTAAAGAATTCGAAGCATTTTGCAATCATAGCTGACTGTACTCCTGATATAAGCCATAAAGACCAACTCTCCCTAATATTAAGGTGCACTGACATAACAGAGGTTGTCGTACAGATAGAAAAGAAAATTAAAAGGAAAAAACAAGGAGTTCTTCGCTCGCTTTCTTTGTACTTTCTCCTTGAGATCGGGAAACAACCAGGGTGCAGGCTTTTTAGAGCAACTGGCAAATTTTCAAGGTCAGAGGCAAACGCTTGCATATTAATTTTTTTTAGATTGCGGTAAGTTTTTATTTCCGGCATGATTTTTGAACTTATAATTTGTAATGAGCATTCGACCAGCTCATGGTCTGTTATTCCGTGCATCGACCGTATACCAATAAAAGAAAATAAACTTCCCGAGCATATAGCAATATCAATAAGTGTTTGTGATGTTGAAGTAATTTGCGTAGGTTCGGTAACTATCTGTCGAAGGCCATATGATTCTAATAAAGTAGAAAGCTTTCTTCCATAAGAACTGTCAGGCTTCATCAAGTCCAAGTTCATGTTCCCCCCACAAAAAATATCCCTGCATTCTGGAGTAATAAATGCCAAAGTATCTTCAAACGAAGTAAAAAATTGCGTTAAATTTGTGTTTGGGGACCTATATATCACTCCAAACCCATAGGCAGTATTATTAATATATACACAACCCCAAAGCTGTTCACACACTTCGTAAATTAATTAAAACTAGAACTAACGTGCGTCTGAAGAAGCACGGCTAAACCCGAAACTTTCTAGTGTTACTTCTAGTTTTAGTGCAATAAAAATATACAACATAGTGATATCTAGCAACATCATGTTAGGACTCATTTTAATAGTTTTTTTAAATAAAGAATACATCATAAAAGAACACCATGAAGTTGTCCATTTGTCTATTATATGATAACTAACTTCAGATTTGAACTGTCAACCTCAATTTTGACATATTTGTAATTTTCATTGAAAATCCTTTGAAATGACTACAAACACGACATATTTATCTTCAATATTAATGAAGTTATGGTCAACATCCGGTTAGAAATGTCAACGTCAATTTTGACATATTTGTAATTGTCGTGAAAAATCCTTTGAAATGAGCCCAAACATGATACGTTTAATTCCAATATTAGTCGAGATATAAAAACTTCCGGTTTGAAATGTCAATGTCATTTTGACATATTCTTATTTTTTATAAAATGTCTTAAAATTTATTACAAAAACAATACAAAAAATTACAAATTAAGGTTACTATCAATATTTAATAATTAAATTACTATCTTCATTGTTACTAACTTCGGGTTTAACGTTTTTTGTTCCAACTTTTTTGTTTTTTAAGATAAGTGCGTCACGTTTGGACTCATTTTAAAGGTTTTTTAAATAAAAAATACATCATGAAAGAACACCATGAAGTTGTCCATTTGTCTATTATATGATAACTGACTTCAGATTTAAAATGTCAACCTCAATTTTGACATATTTGTAATCTTCATTAAAAATCCTTTAAAATGAGTACAAACACGACATATTTATCTTCAATATTAATGAAGTTATGGTCAACTTCCGGTTAAGAAT